TTTTTCAAAATTCAAGAGGAGACGAAAACAAAAACAAAAACAAACCTCCTGCCTTCCCAAGCGTTGGTCTCAGGTGATTTGGGCTTTGGAGGGGGATACGTGGCCTTGTTCTAGAGCTCTGAGTGGATTCCCCCAATTTCTGCTGGGAGGGTCCTGCTGTCCAGAGTGAGGACTGGGGAGCTCGTAATGCCCATGAGGTGCAAATGCATTTTCAGTTATTTTATTAAGCTGGCCTTTCAAGTTCATTATCACTACTATTTATGGTTGGGCTATGTTTCTCCAGAGACTCTGCAAATAGCTCTCCTATTGTTCAGGTAAAATTTATAGCTAGCTGGAGTAAGAGGCAGCAGCACTCGAGCCCAGGCTTGCTCCTCTCATGGGAAACAAGAGCTCCACCAGTCCTCTGGGTGCGCGTAGACGTTGTGTATGGGCCCAGGCATCTTTTAAATACAGCTGATTAACCACACTGCAGGGACTCAGGGGGGAAGGCGAAGGTCTGCCTGTGGAAGGTGCAGGGGGTGGTGTGCATTCCGGGGTACCACATCCTCCTCGGTTGTCATCGGCTCTGGCAACCTCTGCCTTCTGTTGTCACGGTTTCCTTTGGATGCAAAGGTGCTGGCCAGACTGCAGCGAGTTCCCTGCCTGTAAGGGAGAGAAAGGCCTTCTTCTCAGAAGAGGCCACACAGCGCTCGGGCACTTGTGGTAGTGCCATCTGCACCTCCCGGGGATTTCACACTGCTCCGTCTCCAGTGGGGCTTGAAATTTCTGGCCAGGCTGGGAGGAAGGAAGTGGCTTTAGCGCTGAGCCACACATCTGCCCCCCATGAGCTCTGGGTGGGTCACACGAGTAGGGGGAGGGGCGCTAGTGTCAGGTATGGCAATCTAACATTGTCTCAGGGACACGTGGAAACAGTGATCAGTCCTGTACTTTCTAAAAAGAAGCTGTGAGAGGCTGTGGGGGGATTTCCCTAGAGCCCCTGTGCAGTTCTAAGCCCTGGTCCTACCAGCATAATCAGACCAACACAAGGCCATGTACCTGATGCCTTGAGGATACCTGACCCGAGGAGGCCCAGGTAAAATCCTCATCGGTAAAACCGAGGGTCAGACAGACCATCTCTACGGTTTTCTTCAGCTTTGAGGATTTATGATGCCAAAATAGAAAGGACTTCCCCTTATTAGCACATTTCCTTGCCTTTTGGACTCTAGCAAGATCTTGTTTATGTTGGAGCTCTGAGCAGATGTGGTACTGTCCAGGGGTGAATGGGTCCTGTATTATGGCACCCAGACTTTGTGTGGCTGAAGGAAGAGGTGGAACGATGGGGGGAGCCCTTATTTGTGACAGACCTGTCTTCTGGTGAATTATTGTAGTGATAGGCTGTGTCTGGGTTCAACTAGGAAGGGCTAAAGGAAACGGGGGTCAGGAGACTTACAGGAGGGCTAATGAAAAATAGAGAGTATCTTCGGTAGAGCAGTGGGGAATAAAGGTTTCTAAATAAAGCTTTAAAAAAGATGCATTGCAGGAGCCTGGGGATATAGTTCAGCGGCATAAACACAAGCACAAGTTTGCGAGTTCGATTCCTGGCACTCCCCCCAAAAAGATGAACGACAAACCAATTACAATCTGCAGTCCTGAACAGGAGCCAGAATTTTTTTAAAAAGCAGTTACTAAGGGCATTATTTGGACTCCTGTGGAAATTTCAATATGGTTGTTAGATGGTATTATGTTGAATTAAATTCCATACATATGAAATTGATGTTGTGGTTATGTAAGAAGATATCCTTATTTTGGAGAAATACTGCTGAAGTCTTGGAAGTGTGGGAGCATCTGCAGCTTTTATAGGGTCTGCATGTAAAAAATGTGTTTGTGTATGAAATACGTATGCATAGAGAGATGGGGCGGGTGTCGTAAGGCACTAGCAGTTGGTGATGTGTGTGAAGCTGCTGAGTGTTCTCTCTACTCTACTTTCTCACCTTCTGTAACTTTGCAGACTTAAGATAGAAAGTGTGGGGCTGAGTCTCCGAAGGCAGAGATCTGCTGGGGTACAATTCTCTGCCCAGTCCCTTCTTCCGGGTTCACCCATGGGCTGAGGGGCTCATTGCAGCTGAGGCTCATCTCTTCCCTCTGAAGACAGAGTCAGAATCCTGCTCGTAACCATGCTGACCTGGTGATGCGAGACCTCCCCGAGCTGTTCCTGGAACTCACATGTGTCATAGGCTGCTCCTTGTCATCACTCAGGCCTGCTCCTTGTCATAGGCTGCTCCTTGTCATCACTCAGGCCTTAGGGATCTGCCGCAGGTCCTCCTTTTGCGTGACCAGTGTCCTTCCATTTGGGTTGCCCGTGACAGCTCCAAGGGATGCAACGCAGTGTCCAGGGTGTGTGGAAACATCAGGTGCACACACACCATCCTCCGCCCTTGGCTTGCTGTGGGAGAGAAGCAGGAATGCAGGTGAAGGGGCTCGGGACCCCAGTGCAGGCTGAGCTGAGCTCCAGACCAGAGTCCTCCGTGAGCCCCAAGCAGGAGCAGCCTGCAGCCCCACCTACAATGCCTTACTTCCCAATTTTTTGTAACAAATCTCTTCCCAATTTTTTGTAACAAATCTCAAAAGAAGCATGTGGAGTGAAAGGCGGCCAATCTCTGCTGATTACCATATTACATTATTTCATTTAGACAACCACGTTCTTGATGTGACGGAATGATACAAATGGAGGACAGATGAGTGATTGTCGGGGTTCATGGGTGGGGGTTGGGGTGCTACACAAGGGCACCCAGAGACCCTAGCAGGAATGGAAATGGTCTGTATGTTGACTGGACTAGTGTGACGCTGCATTAGGGACCTGGACCATGTGGCCACAGGGAACTGGGCAAGGGGCAAGCAGGACCCCAACTGTTTGTCTTTTTAGATATAATTAAGTTTTTTGGTGCATTTTAGCTATACATGATCATATTCATCGTAAGGAATTTGAACCTGTGCATCATATATTTTGAGTTCTCTATTTTTCCACACCCCTCTCCGTCCTTCAACCCATCTTCCCTTCCCTGTTCACCACGCTTTGTTTCCATTTTATCCTTTTAAAATCCCTTTTCCCTTCCTTTCCCTCTTCACCCCTCCTAGTTCTTTCCTTTTGAATGCTTTCTTCCCATTTCACATGTCACATGAATCTTTAGTTTATTTAAAATACAACACTTGAACAGAGCTCCAGAGTTCCGGCCACGGAGGGATTCGGGCCGCTTATTCACCTGCCCTCTTGATAAGCACCTGCAGTTGGGGCCTGGAGGAGAACCATTACCTGTGAGCCAACTTCCACGGGAGCTGAAAATCAAGCACCCTGCTCCCACCTGCCCCTCCCCGCTTACCTACTGGGATAGATATTTCAACATCTCTTCGGAGGATGACCATATGCAGTATAGCAAATATGGGGGATTTCCTTCTGTCTTCTGTTTGAAGGCATAGGTTGTTTTCACTTTTTGTTATATTTCTTTTGCTCTATTCAGTATTCTCAATTCATTTTACAATGTTCTATTTTTGGTTTGATTTAAAAATATGTAAATGACTTGATAGCTATTGTTAAATTAAAGAGATATACCATAGTACTTAGTGCTACTATCCTAGTATCCTACTGTGAAATCCTGTACCAATTTCACAGCATTGTCTTGATTGGCTTTGTTCTGTCTTACGCTGTTGCATAATTGCTACTTCCAAATTAAAAAAAAATACATAAGACCCATGCATGTGTAGAATCTATGAACAGTTTATGAGAACTGATCTTATGACAATTGATGAACAGATACTTTGAAGAAAAGGAGACACTAAAAAACCCAGTGCTGATCCTGGAGTGTCATAATGTGAAACCCAGCAACAGTGTTATTCTTTGTTCAGAGTGATATTAGCCTGCTTGGGTTTATTGAAAGTCAACATAATTGAAGACATGGATAACTGCCTGGATGTTTAAGTGTAGAGGATTGATAACCATATTTCTAAGTTTTTGTTGGATAGTTGAACAGAACTGGTTGCAATCTCACTGTTTGAATCCCCACTTTATATGCTCCACTTTAGTATCTTGAGTAACTATTTGTAAGAAGACAATCTGTAATCATCAACTAGTGATTTCTTACTGTTTATTTTTCTTTGAAAGTATGTATTATTACTACCCATTTTCTGTTTTTTTAGTCTTTCTTTAAATTTAGTTTTAAAAAGAAGACACTACAGTACCCAGTGCTGATCATGGAGTGTCATGAAGTGAAATCCAGCAATACTATTATTCTTTGTTCAAAATGATTTTAACCTGCTTTAGTTTGTTTAATCTAAACATAAATGAAGATATAGATAACTGCATGTATGTTTAAATGTATAGGATTGACAACCATGTTACTAAGCTTTTAGTGGACAGTTGAACAGAACTTTTTGCAGTCTCTCTGTTTGAATTCCCACTTTACATGTTCCATTTCTGTACCTTGAACAACTATTTGTAAAACGACAACATCAACTAGTGATTTCTTACTCTTTTTTTTCTCTGAATGTATGTACTATTTCTACCTATTTTCTGTTTCGTTTAATCTTTCTTTAAATAAAAAAAATACAACACTTACTTCTAAAAAGGACGATGTAAATGAAACAAGTATGGTGAACTAGTAACATCTAACTGGCTTGGTGAGCAGAGAAATCCTTCGCATTTGGTATGTTCTTTCCTTAATGTTTGAAATGCCTAGTGAAACTAAGACCCTCTGGCGTTACCTTGTGTGTGTGCAGTCCTTCCCAGGACACATACCTGGTCCCTTCAAGCTGGTGAGACAGAAGCACCAGGAAGAACCACTCGGTGAGCACTACAGAAGGTCCTGAGCTCCGGCACTGAACTCAACCGCGAACCAGGCTCCACTTTCTGTTACAGAACTGGGCAAAGTGACACTTAAGAGTTAACCTTGGTGATAGCTACTCCTAGGAAGAAGGCTGGAATCCTGCAGTTTCTAGAACCCTTCAGCTCCAAAGAAGAAAGACATGCATACCAAAATGCGTTTATTATTTAGCAAAAAGTACAACAACTTCACGGTGCAATCAAAAGGGACTAAAGGAGACACATGGAATAGTTGAGATGTAAACACAGCAAAGAAAGTCCGAGATTCAGGTAGGCTGGGATGCTCTTCCAGGAACCATTAGAGGGTAAAGTGTTTCCAGCTCGGCGTCCTGGGGGCAGGCGTGGTTGTGGCAGGGCTACTCGCAGGGATTCTGAATGACAATCAGAAGATATTCCTTATCTGTGGAGAGATGCGGACAAGATTGATTCACTCTAGAAATTCCAGTTAGTACTCAAAGATAGCTGCTGATCTGTTTTTCTCTTCTGAATATAACACGGCCCTAGAGACTGATGGCAGCTCATCAGCATTACCTGGGTGTCAGGGTTTATGTCTGTGGCCCCCAGGCCTCATGAGTTTGCATTGTGCATTTGTGATGGTTCATTGTCTAGTGCTTGGATTGATGGTGTCAGTGCTCCACTCACATAGGGGTGGAGCCAGGGTGTGATGTAATGGCAGGAAGAAGGCGTGTCTTGCTCTTTGGCAGCTCCTGTTTGCTGTTTGCAGCCGCCATGAACTGCGGCCCAGCCATGCCTGCCTGCCTGGGAGCCAACTGAGTGTGGACTGAAACCTCCAAAAACTGTAAGAAATAAACCTTTTCTCTCCCAACTTGGGCTTCAGGTATTTTGTCTCAGCGGTAAATAAAAAGTAACTAAGACACTGAGTATTTAAAAACCACCCACCCCAGCCTGCCTGGAGAGTCTGATTTCATTGGTCTGGGGATATTGAGGCACAGGCCATATTTTAAAAATGCTCTCAGAATGAAATTACAAAGCTGTACTTAGTTTTTTGGGAAATTATAATCTTTTTATTGTATGGAAAAATAAGTCAAAATTTCATAAAAAATAGGAGAATAATCACAGTTAATACATTGTGTATTGTTATGTCAGAGTAGTTACTCAGAGTGCAAGATGTGGGCATAAAAATTCTCCAAACTATGTTGGCAAAAGTCTTTCTTTTTAATGAAGAGAAAACAGTAGTCTAACTATCTGTGTTTTTTCCTTTTCCCTTCCTTCCTTTCTCTCACCCTAGTTCCCCTTTATTTTTGAATAATTTCTTCTCATTTCACAGTATCTATTGTACCTTATTTACTCTTTCAGTTTCTCACACCCAGGTAACACTATGATGTTCACACACGTGAGTCTGATTTATTTCACGTATGAGTACGGTCTCAAATTGCATCCATTTGCCTACCAATGTCTCAAGCTTATCATTCTTTATGGCCAAATAGTACTCCATTGTAGAAAAAGACCACACCATTTAAATCCATTTCTCATTTGATGAGCATTTGGGTTGTTTACAAGGTTTAACTATTACAGATTGTGCTGCTATAAACATGGTGGTGCACATATTGCTGTGGAAAGATGTTTTTAGTTCTTTCAGGAAGATACCCAGAAGGGGAATAACTGGGTCAAGTGGAACCTCTAATCATAGTATTTTGAGGAATCTCCAGACTGATTTCCACAGTGGCTGCACCAGTCTACACTCCCACCAACAGTGGAGACGTTTCCTTTTCCCCCTGAGGCCTCTCCAGCACTTCTATTGATTGATTTCTTGATGATAGCCATTTTTTCTGGAGTGAGATGGAGTCTCAGGGTTGTTTTAATTTGTATCTCTCAAATGACCAATGATGTTGAACATTTTTTCATATACTTATTTGCCATTTGTATTTATTAATCCTAAAAGTGTGTATTAATCTCAGATGCCCAATATTGGATTTGGTCTTTGAATTTGGCAGGGAATCTGACTTTTTTCAAATGTTCATATATTCTAAATATAAGTCCTTTATCTAAGGGACAAGTTTCTTCCTCCCAGGGATTTAAGGATGGTTCCACATACACAAATTAATAAATGCATTATGCCATATTAAGATAGCCAAAGACAAAAATCACATGATTATCTCAGTAGATGCAGGAGAAGTGTTTGACAAAGTACAACTCCCATTAATGATAAAAAAAAAAACCTACAGAAAATTTGAACAGATGGTCTTTACCTTAATCTGAAAAAAGTCATCTATGACAAACCAACAGCCAACAACTGGTCAAAACTGGTCAAAAACTGAAAACTTTCACTCTAAAATCAGAAACAAGACGAGGATGTTGACTGTCATCAATCTTATTCAATATAGTTCTGGAAACATTAGCTAGAGCAGTTAGAAAAGAGGAAGAAATAAAGGCATAAGAATGGGAAAGGAAGAAGTGAAATTACCATTATTTGTTGAAGACAAGATACTCTACATAGAAGACTCCAAAAACTCTACCAAAAGACTTGTAGATTTAATAACCAAATTCATTAGTGTAGCTGGATACAAAGTCAACACTCAAAAATCAAACAATGAATTCACTGAGAGAGAAATTAGCATCAAAAAACAAATACTTAGGAATCAATTTAACAAAGGAAGTAAAACATCTGTACACTGAAAATTGCAATACTCAGAGAAAGGAAATGGAAGAGGATGTCAGAAAGTGGAAAGATATCTCTTGCTGATGGACAGGAAGAATCAACATAGTGAACATTCCAAAAACTTACACAGATTTAACACAATCCCAATCAAAATACCACCAGCATATCTCACTAGAGGAAACATTCCTAAAATTCATTTGAAACCAGAAGAGATCTAGAATAGCAAAAGCAATTCTGGGCAACAAAGGCAAATCATGGAGTATTACAACCCCTGACTTGAAATTATTTTTCAGAGCTACTGTGATAAAATCAGCATGGTACTGGCACAAAAACAGACTTGAGGATCAGTGGAACAGGATAGAAGATGCAGACACAACTCCAAAGACACTCAGCCATCTTATCTTTGACAAAGGTGTCAGTGGAAGAAAGATAGCCTCTTTAATAGATACTGCTGGTACACTGGCTTTCTATATGCTGAAGACTAAAACTAGACCCATGCCTAACACCATCCACTGAACTAAAATCAAAGTGGATCCAATTTCTAAATATTAAGACAGAAACACTAAATCTACTGGGAGAGAAAATAGGTAGAAATTTTGAAGACACAGGTATAGGCAGAGAGTTCATGAGCAAAACCCAGATTGTGTGGGAGATACTACAAAGAATCAACAACTGGGATCTCATTCATTAAAAAGCATTTGCACATTGAAGGAAATCACCAACAGGACCACAGGACAACCCACAGAGTAGTGATTCCAATTTGACAGATGTGCTACACAAAAGTGTGTTCTAGTCTAGGGTTAAGCGCATGACACAGCCATTGAGTGACTCTTTGCAGAAGGATGAGCTTTGTGGGTGCTGCCTTCCTCTAGGCCAGGCTGGCTGTGCTTTACCTGTAGGGAGCGGGCTTCCTAGCTCTCCCCAATTTACTCTCCGGACAGGGCACTTATCTGTGCACTCTACAGTCTGTGTGCCTGATTTGCTGAAAATGAGAACTGCACCCACATTTTCCGTTGGCTGAGAGTAAATGCAAAACGGGTAAATTCAGTGTATGCAAAGATCAAATCAATCATGGATTTCATAAAATTTTCAAGTTGGAATCTTCAGATTCCAACATCTTCATTTTGTAACCCAAGAAAATCGTGTTTTATATTGCATATTTGTTATGGGTTAAAAACTGGTGGTCAACTTAATGCCAGCAGAATTAGATCACCATGCTGCTGAGTGTAGATGTTTAACCTGAGGAAAGTTGCCAGCATAAATAGAGACGTGGAGAAGGATTGTGTTGACGCATCGTGGGTTCTCCTATGTTGCTGTTTGAGCCGTTGGTTCTCCTGGAGAAGCTCGGTCCTCACATTGTGCACTGCTTCCTGGCTCAGAGGGGAAGATGTGTGCTGCTTGGTCTCCAGGGTGAACTCGTCACACTGCTTCCTGGCATGTACCTGACTGTGCTTGTCGTCGGAGGACCTCAGGGCCTCCGTGTCGCTGAGGATAGCTGTGGTGCATTCAGGACAGCCCTGGTCTTTGTTGTGAGTGTGACTTTTTGGCTCCAGCATAGAACCCTCATCCCACCCGCACAGCTCCTTCACCCCGCTGGCATGGACTTCCCAGCATGGATCCATAAAAGAGACTGGTGTGAGTCCTTCTTGTGGGCTCTAGACCTCCAGTTGGACTCATGGGAGGCACTGTCATGAGCTCTGGGTCTTCTTATGGACTCATGTGGGACACTGCTGTGGCATCCCTTTAGCCCTTGGCTAAATTTTCTATGTCTTTGGTGTTGCGGATAGATTTCCTGCATTTTCCTGTGTTAACTCCTGGGGACCATTATAAAATAATATTATAAACTCCCCGTCCTGATTCTAGTTGTTCTCTGCACAACCCCAGACTACAACAATATTAAAATCCACAGTCCTCTGCTCTTTGAAACAAGACTGTTAACCAGTAAAATGGAAAGAGGCTTTCAACACAAAAGTGAGATGCGGGGTTACCTGGAGCGACCATGATTTCGTGTTTCTTTGACCTGATCCTAAGGAAAGTTAAGTCGTTCTGAGGATCAATATCTCGGATCGTGCTCTTGGCTTTTATTGTGAGCTGATGGAGAAGACCTGCGTACTGAACCGTGGTCGAGTTGTCCAGAGTGGTCCGGATAGGGATACCTATTATGAAATGTGGTTGGGGTTAACGTCTTTTTTATGATTCTAAAAACAGTATGAACATTATAAAGTTATTACAAACACTGCTAACAGTAAAGAGGGTGAAAAAGTGATACGGATATTGCTGGTAACAATTTCACTTTACAGCCTTACTGTGTTTCTCATCTCTACCTAGATGTTTAAGTGTAAACCTAGTCTTACAAAATTGTTTCTTCCTTTCAGATGGAGTGTACAGTTGTTGCTGTTGACAATGTCATCGCCATTAATTTTAAACCTCGCATACTTAAATATTATGGACATATCATAGTGCATTCAACCGCCTACAGTTTAGACAATTGGTCTTTACATTTTTTTGGTAGTGGTGTGATGAATGATTTGTGCACACGTCATTTGGAAGTTGTTCATAGATTATTGTAGCCCACAGTGGATGCATTTGTATATAAAGTACCTTCCTCAAGCATCTTATCTGCAGCGAGTCTGCTTTGGAATGCTTTGTATAAAGAATGCTGTGACAGTTCCTTCCTGAAACCCAAAACATAGAAAAGTGTCGCTACCCATGCTGGAGTCATCAGAAGAGACTTTTCAGAATTTCTCCCTAATGTCTCACATGGTATTTTGCAAACCTTACAATTTTTTGTTAGAAAAACAAGGTAACAAAGATTATATAGTTTTGCTCTGCATTCCCTGGTTTGCACTTATTTTTGATTTTAAATATTATTAAACTTGGCTACTAGATTGCTCTATCATTCTACTATGAGTATCAAACACAATCTATTAACTTACTTGGAAGATTCTAGCTAGACAAATATGCAGGTATAATTCACCTCTGCTCAAATCAATCCAGCTAATTCAGGTCAGCCAGTGCTTCCTACCTGTTATGTAACAGGCACTGTGATAGGCAGTTTGTATACACCATGTTATCTCTAAACAAGGAGAGCCTTCATTGCATTTTGCGGGTTGCCAAATAGGAATTCCAGGGTCTTTCTTTGCAGAGGTGCCTTTACTTTAGAGGGACACGTGGAGTGCAATGGGGGATTGCTGACCCATTCCTTAGGTTCCTAAATTAAGGCCAATCAATAAAAGAATCTAACCCAGTTTTCCATTTTCCTTCAGAAAGGGTAGCTCCAGAAACCTTCATACAGAGAGCACTTTCAAGAGTAGAAGAGCACTAGGAACTGAAAGTTATCAAATTTTGATGAGGCTGTTGGAGAGAATCCATTCTACCCTGCAAGAGACTAGTTACTTTTTAAGATAACTACTATCTCCAGCACAAGTCTTGCTAAAGAATGTAAGCACAGTACTTACAGGGAAGCCTCGTCAATAGATAAGGTGTGATATACAACTGTTAATTTCCAAATTATTATATGCTGGCCACATCTCCTCTTTCACACCCGATGGAAGGGCACAAAGCACGTCTTTAACAAACAGGAAACAAATGTTGCTAGCACTCCAACTTTGAGGATAACTTTTGGTGAATACTTTTATTATTTTACATCCTAAATAGTGACAATCTATGGAGCCTGAGCTGCTCAGTGTCAACAAAAGAAATACAACCCGGGTAAGTTCCTTAGAGTGTGAAAGACAAGATTATGAGTCTTGACGTTCAGGCCTGTTTAGGAACGATCCACGCACTCTGGGAACAGGTGGGGGTTTTTCATATATATCGGAGACACGGAAACAAGTAACAGCTATTTAGTGAGCTTTTGCTGGGAACCTTGTGAGGTAATTAAAAAATAACTTAAAGCATAATTTTAGGACACAGTAGCCTAGATATTCCTCCAGGCATGTTCTAGGTCAACTCCAGAAGGTATGCATTGGTGTTTATAATCTTCACTTCTGGGCCATCATTATCCTGTATCTTAACTTTGTTCAGATAAAGGAATTGCTTGACTCAGTCTATGTAGTGGTGATTCTTCATGCTAACGACTACAGTGGCCTGCTGGGTGGCTATTTTGTCATGCCTTGTGCCAGAGATTTAAGCTGTTCCTATTCTTTGACTTTTATAAACAGTATGACCTTACAATGTCATTTCACATTTGTATGTATGTATAGAATAAATTCTTAAAATGGAGCTTCTAGAACAAAGAATATAGGTGTATTTTAAGTTCGATATTGCCAAATTTATGGCATTGGTTTAAAATATAAATATATGATGCCAGTAAGCTGGTACTTATTATTTCAGTTTATCATCTTCAGCTGTATATTTGCACTTTGGTTGCCAGATTGTATATCAAAATAAAGAGAAATGGCAGGACGGCTGATAAGCTCTAATGAAATTCACATGGTGGATTGTTAGAAGAGCCAAGAATATTTAAAATTAAGAGAATACAGGACCTTGGCTTAGACACATAAGAATATATGACAGATATGACCAGGAGGCAGACAGATATTTATATTCACTGGTATATAACGGAATGATCACGTTGTAATATTACATACAGTGAGTGGTTTTATAAATAGGAAACCCATATTAATAAACAAGCTATGCTAATCAAAACCTGTGCCACACACCATCGATAAACTGGCAAGCTACGTGAGACCAGAGGACTAATATTTACCCTGGCCCATGGGGAGTGCTCAGTGCACACTACACCCACCCAACCAAAAATACAATCTGAGATAGGTTAAGGCAATTTGCCTGTAATCAGTGTACAAAAACCATTAGTAGAGAACAAAGAGACACAAATAGACCATATTAGTTAAATGTTTTCTGTATGAAATTTCATGAGATTTCCAAAAGCCAGAAAGCTGTACTATAATGAATGACACTTTCATCTAAAAGTGAGCAGGCTGTTGGAATCAAGCACTGAGAATGTTACATTCTGGTCATGCAGCTTATACTACACACTATTAATAAACACCCTGCTCCTGCACGCTGGTATTAATAAGCTGACCACAAAAACAAGCCTCTCATTTATAGTTTTGGGGGAAAAGGTTAATTTAACTTTTAGGCAAAAATCGAGTATCTATAAGCCTTGAAAAGTGCCCTGAATCCTTACACAACCTTATCCCAGGAGAGGTTAATTAAAAATTAATGGGTATTAGAAAAATATTTTGTTGCCCGTAGCTGAGACAAGTTTTGAGAAACCTCGGGAAAATAAAGTGAAAGTGACTTTTAAGGCCGCTACTCAGCAGATTACTCACTGTGGTGCACTCTTATGCCACCCCCACCCCGCCCGATTTAAATGTGCACGTGCCCCGGGATACAGACACGATGAGAAACTGCAGGTGTGGGCAGCTGCCAGCCTCCTCCCAACGTTCTGCAGCTTCTTAAACAGAGTGATGCTCATCATGTAGATATTACATATGAATTTTAAACTTCCCTACTGTCAGGACGCTTTTATTTTATTTGCCTATTTATTATTGTGCATTCTTTTATCTAAGTCTTTTCCTCGTTTGTGGAGTAGGTTTGTGGACCGAGGCTGTGTCTGCTTTTGGGACATTCAAAGCACGTCGCCAGGGTTATGTGCTTTCCAAAAACCCCGCCCCATGAAGCTGCTAGATGAGGCCCCCTGGCTGCCACAGGAGGGTGCAGCTCTCCAGGGTCCCCCAAGTTCAAGTCCAGCCTGGACAGGGTCATGTGGTTTGGAAAGAGAGTCCCTAAAGACACTGTGAGTCAGAATGAAGGCACTGGGGTCGTGGGGTGCCCCAACCTTCTAACTGGGGAAACGGGAGAGGACAATTCCATGTGACCGAGGAAGCATGGAAGGCTAGGGGCGCAGTGTCCCTAAGCCAAGGGACACCAGAGACTGACAACTGCCCCCAGGAGCTGGGGAGGGGCCAGCAAAGCTTTCCCAGTGGGACATTTGAGACCACCGTGTCTCAATGCCATTTCAGGACCACTTCTGGCCTCCAGGCTGACAGAAAAGGTTTCTGTTTGAAGCCAGCAGGTGTGAGGGACTTTGCTGAAATAAACAAAGCACCGTGGCCCAAGCCAACCTCAGGAGGCTGCTGGTGAAGTCATGCGGAGAGCTGAGACTAGAGAGGGTGAGTGCTGAGTGCATGCAAATCTTTGGAAATAAACTCAGTCTAACGGGTGCATCCCCGGGGGCTGGAGGACTTCTGGAGCTGTCTGCCGCGGCTCTTGACTTCACCCGTAAGGATGATTGTAGATCCTCTCTCTTCTCTGAGTATTCAAGCTGAGTGAATTTATTATAATCACACTCGCTATACAGATTTGGTTTTGAGCTAGTTTTTATCGTATAAAAAATCTAATGTTTTATCTGTGAAAATGAACTAAAATCTCCACCTTCTCACAATTAATTACAGTTCTATTAAGTGTTAGCTGTTTTAGGGGGTGCACAGGGCAACTATTCTTTTATGTAACCATCATAACCACCGGCAAAGTACAGTACGTTCTTTTCCACCATCCTTAATGGTAAGGAATTAAAATTCAGAGTTGAAGCAGAGTTTCCGCTGCGAGTTGCACATTAAGGATGTATTGATGGATTCTGCCAGGCCCTGAGCAGGTAATACATCAGGTTTACAGTTGAATCAGGAACTATGTGGAGTATTGAATTATTTCTATGAAGGTCTGGAATTTCCAGTATCTTTTGCCTTTACTAGTGACCCAATTAGCAGTGAGACTAGCAGGCACTTTGTGAGGTCACTGCCGTGGCTGAGCAGGGGGCAAAGTGCCTGGGAATTGCTGTGTGGATTTTTTTTTTTTTTTTTTGGTACCAGAATCGAACTCATGACCTCACACTTGCCAGGCAGGTGCTTGTGCCGCAGAGCTAACCCCTGCCCTGTGCGGATTCTTAAGGAGGGTTGTGTAGCGAGAATAAGGATCTGGTGAGTCTTTAGATTTCATGGTTGGAAATGCATTGGCCCTTTTAATGCTACATCTGCAAATACTGTAAATAACATCAAAATGGATTCTCAGTGATTTTTTCTAATTATGATAAAGGAAGAATTTCACTTAAAATGAACACTGAAACTTTCCACATTTATAACTTTAGAATAAAAACAAATGGTGAGCAATAATATTCTCCTTATCTTAAACATGATAGCTTCATTGGCACCCCTGAAATGATGAAAGGGAAATAATAGAGCTTTAAAAAACATGTAATCTGTGTTTCTTAGGGATATATAGACATTTTTAGACATGTCTGGCTAATACAACTAGCCCTAGCTTCCAGCCGAATGCTTGGCATATAATAGATACTCAACGATGTTTGACGTATGACTAAATTTACAAAATATGCTCTCAATTTCAAATTGTAAGATGTTTGTTTCAAGGCTTTATACGACCGACAAATCCCTGGGTTGATTTCTGTGTGTCAGGAAGACAACCTGCGACATACTTACCTTCTGCGTTTACAACCATGGTTCCAATCACTCCTTTGTGGCTCTGGATTCTTTTTAGGGTCTCCTCTACCTCTGTCTGCAAGAGATCAGAGGAGCAATGAATCCAAAGGGTCTCTGTGGTGATATCAGCACTAAGGAGAATGATCTTCAGAAGGATACATTTCCCCCCTCTCCTTAACCTAAGGTGGAGGCACTGGGTGCTATAACCCCAGATATTTAAAGCCAGCTTGGAAATCATCAAGCCCTACATACAAACCTATATAAGATTCTCCCCGATTCAACCCTGACAGTTCTCTTGGATCGCTCCCTTTTAGTGACAGAGAGATCATATTGCCTCCCAGGAAGAGTATTTTGGCTAGAAAAGTACTTTTCACGTTGCATAGAAACCTGCCCTGGGCCACCTTTAACGTGTTAATCGTTCTGTATTCACAAAACCTCTTTCTGTGTATTATTGTCTTTCCTTTCTCTAGCAGTGGCTTTTACTGAGAAACTGAATTTTCGTTAGTGTCACCTAACTTGCTGTTCATTCAGATGATCAGGTTTCAGAAGGGTATCATGGAAAATAACATGTTCCAGGATCCCAGGGTTCTCTTGAAAACTATAACTTGAGTCTTGGTTGCAAGCTGAATGTCAAATTGTGAATGATTATATTGCAATCCCATGACTGAGACTTAAAAGTATTTTTTTTTTGCGTATACTCTATTGTACCAAGTTTTCTTCTTATGTAGAGATGCCAAAATTAATATTTTCTAACCATTTAAACATTGATCAAAATATAAAGCGAATAGTTAAACTGAAAATTTTATACACTAATGGACGTATTGCCACTAATTCCCCTCAAATTTTTTTTGACACCCTCATCCCATAATTCTTGTCATTTTTGGAAGCAGTTTTGGAAATCATCCTGTGGTTGTCCAGTGTCATCCAATAGAAAAAGCAAGCTCGTAAAGCCCTTATGGGGTCCTGATCTACCCCTGTGACTCTGCTTTTTCCCCCAAGTTAAAATGACAATGAAAATTAAAAGTTGTGAATTGCTTCAGAACACTGGGGGAGACATGGTAATGCACCTAAAGACACTTAAAAGGGGGCTTTTAAGTGCATGTGAAGTGAGGGGAGTATTTTGAAAGGGACTAGTGGTAATGTATCTTTTACTACAATAAAATATTCTAATTTAGCGTTCACCGTATTTCTCCATCACACCTATATTGTTCATGTCTGAGCTTTCCCTGGATATTCTGAATGTTAAGAGTATTCTGCAGTCCATTGATGAGGGATGGTGATATCCTCCACATTCCACAGGTGAACATTATGTTACTTTAGTCAAGACAGGTTTCTTTTGCCCTTCATGTGAGGCTGAGCACTTATCTTTTTTACCACTATAGCAGCTGTTTTTTCAATCTCAGGCACTGCTGTATGAGGACCATAATCTTTGCTATTTTAAACACTGTATCATTTGCCTAGCATGTCCTGTAATCTCATTGCCAAAAAGCTTAAATAAATGCATTTTAAAAGGAAATCGTTTACCATGAAAATAAATGGAAAACTGCTATTATTTGGTGTAAACAGAAATAACCGTGAAATCAAAACAGAAGGAAGACAGGGCACCTGGTTTTGATTTCTACTGCAGGGAAAGCTTGGAGCTGGAGGCTCATCAGATTGAGCGCAGAGCCATCTTGCTTAAGGTGAAAACTAGAAATCACCACATGGCAGGAACTACAACTACCAGAAGCGGTCTCCTCTCTGAAGGCTTCCATAAATGGAAGGAAGAACTTTCTCACGATGGGACTCACCGGCATTTGGCACACCTGGGCTATCTTAGGTCCTGATGAATGTTTGCCATCACACTTTGGGACACTGCACTAAAGCCCAATACTTGTACAGGGCATCGATCCTCTATTACCTTTCTGATCATCTTTAAGACAATGTCCACAGCTCTTTACAACCAGCGTCCTGTTTATCGTTTTTGTTTACTCCCCTCTCCTCCCAGGTGCTTCTCTTCTCTTGATTGCTAAGTCCTCCTAGTACAGTACCGCGGGTCCCCCCGCCCCCGCTAGCTTTCCCCAGTCCCTAATGCGCTTTTCTTAATTTCTGTGGACAGGAAGAATGGATCTCTTCCCCGTCTCTTTTCTCTTGACTTTCTTCTCACTCGGTGTCGCCTCCTCCCCCGCCCCATCCCCCTGTTCTCCCTGCTCCATTTCTTCCTTTCCCCTCAGCAGATTTTTCTCTTCTGCATCTCGCCGCGGCTCCTTCACGAACATTCCTGACTCTTGAGATTTCTGATCTTGATTCATCTATCTCATCGATTTCCTTCTCCAATTTCCCGATTTAATCCTCGGCAAGAACCACCCCCAAGACAGCTTCCCCCCATCCAGGCATCTTCTTCCCGCCACCCCCACTCAGGTCTCCCTCTCTCCCCTAAAAGAAGCCTCTGGAGCCACCATCCGCGGCCGCGGCTAGGGAGCCGGGAAGCCGAGGCTCACGCAGGTCGCCGCCCTTGGCAGCGGGGCAGTGACGGAGACCATGAATTTACCATCGCGTGGCCAGCAAGACTCTGGACTCTGGCGCCTTTGCCTCCGCTGCTGTCAACAACGCTTCCAACCGTTGCTAGGAGACAAAGGAGGAAGTGGCATCCCGGAAGCTGAGGGGTCGCGCCTGCGCAATTGCGATTGGGCAGCAGCCCCGGGGGTCGACTCTTCCGCCCTGACTTAGTGGCTGACGCCTCCGGGCCGCCGTAGGCGAAGGTTAGTGAAGTTGGCGGCTGGCTTTTACCTGCTCTGCTTCCGGACTTGAAGAGCCACGGGGCTGAGGAGGGCGGAGGGGCGTGGGCCAGGCTGCTGCATGAGTGTCAGTTCTCTAAGTCCTTTAAGTGCCACTCAGGAACTGTTTGATGACCGCCTACCATGTACCGGGTGGGGTACATGGTTTGTTTCCGCAGGGGAAATAAACCAAACGCCACCAGCGGAGCTGTAATGTCCATGGGCGATACGTGTTGGGGCAGATAAACAGGGATGGGTTCATGTGACTCCGGGCTCCGGCTGTCTTAGGTACTTGGTGACAGACTCAGCTGCCTTGTAACATGTGCTCTGCCCTGTGCAGCACCGGTAGACCCTTTAATGTATCTTATTTGTAGATACATTATGGAGCAACTCTCTGTCTCTCAATATACATGTGCATTACATGTGCATATATATATTTACATGTATGTATATGTATATATATTCATTCATATATATTCGTTTATATCTTCATATCCCAAAGCAAGTACTAGTATACTAGTACAGCAAGCACCATCACAGGTCTTATGCTTCCAGCTCCCACCTGGTTGTGTTATCTCTTTTTGCTCTCAACTCGGTTGAAGAGTTCGAAGGACATTGATACTGTTGTGGCCTGGGAGGAAGAGACCAACTGCCGTAGGAAGCGCAGCAAGGAAATTTTGTGGCTGGCGTCATGTTGTGAATTCCTGGGGTCCGGAGAGGACAAACACGATGATTAAATGCAGTTACAAGGTGGGAACGCCTCTCTCTCAGGACCATGCTGTGATAACTTCTTCATGATGGAGTCTGTGCCTCCATTTTCAGAGAGCAATCTCACAGCAAACAAGATGTGCTTATTGCCAAGAGTGTCTCAGCTACAGACAAGAAAGGCTCTGTTAGGGAAGCTTTGCATTTGGTGGTTTTGGACTAGATCTGTTTCAACCTAGGTGCTGTCATTATATGATATTAAATGATATTATGCCTAGGTTCTGTTATTATACGATAATAACTTTGATACAGGAACACTGAGAAGCTCTGGTTCTGTTTCAGTTTTTGCTGGGGGTGGAGAGATGATTCTGGACACTATAAATTTCCCCTTCAAGCATTTACAATTCTCAAAAAGTCAGTTAACCTTCCAACTTCACACTGAGCACTTGGGACTCCAGCTGAGGCCCTTTGGAAAGATCGGTCAGGGTTTAGGGGAAAAATCTGAACCTGAGTGTGTGTGTGTGTATGTATGTGTGTAAAGACTTGCTTCTATCATTTTGCAGTAATGAAAATCTAGGTCTTTACAGTAATACTAAACTAATTGTCTAAAAGACCAATTTTGGGGCTTGGAGTGTTTCTGAAAAGGGGATTCTCACTATATGTATACATAACCATTTAAAAAAAATAAAAATCATGGCAGTGCACCATACCTGTTACGTCAATCAGTGTTAAGGAAGGAGCTGACTGCATATGCATGGGGAGTGAATTCCCTCATTTCTAAAGTCAGAGTGTCAGACTCATTCGATAGCTGACAGCTGTGATTAGAGCAAAGAAAGACTCCAGCATGAAAGGCACCGACGGGAGAACCCAACTGCTGGGAAAAAAGTGAGAGGTAGCCAAACGATGTCCAACCCACAGTCAAGTTTAACTCACCGTGCACAGGAAATCAATGAGGAGAATATGAGCCATTTTCTTCTCATTGATTTTCACTTCTAATTATTCCTTGGAGACAGCTTGGTTTAATTTTTATGCCTTTTGGGGGACTATAATGAATATCCCGAGTGGTGCTGTCTAAAGTGCCTTGGCAATATCTGACATGTCTCTACTCCGTCGTCAGTAGACGCGAATTCTCCCTTGACCCTCTCCTCTCCCATCCCTTCACTTTGCGTTGACTCAGAAGTGTTACGTAACTGCCAACTTAAGCGAAAGTTTGGATACTTTTGTTTGCAAGTACTCTGATGTATACCGTACTATATGCAGAAACAAATTCCATTATTTCTCACATATTTGTTCAAAATGAGATGATTTTCTTTTAGAGAGGGTCTTTCTTACTCTTTAGTACCTCACTGTTCTCTGGTTGGCCTGAAGAAATCCAGGTAACTTTGTGACTTTGAGTTTTCCCTTGGAATTTCCTGGGCCACCTCGTGTAGCTATCTTGGGTGTTCTTGCCAGGTGGCAAATACTCTAAACTAGACCTTACTGTATCTTAATGTCCATTTTTCTCATAAGGCATTATTTGTCAACCTAAATAGAACTCCTACTAGTCTGTTAGTTCCCCTCCAGAAACTAGACACGAGATGCTTCTAAAATGCCCCTTAATACTAAGGCAGAATTAAAAGGGTGGCAGGGCCATCCATAACTACTGCCTCTAATACCATACAATTACAGTGTAAAGACCGAGTGTTTCAAACGATTCTCAAAAGCATTTTCTGCCTCTGAGGAAATCTTTTTCAGGACTCAATTGTAACACAAGTAATTGCTTCCTACAAGAAAATCCTCCTGTTGGAACTGAGCGGTTTCCTAGGTTTCCTAGAGCACAGGATTTGGAGCTGCGTGTGGCTAGAGTTGATGTTTTGAGGTGTGTTTCGTTGAGTAAAACAAATTTGCGGCTGCAGTTTCCTCATTGGTAGAATGAGAAAGATACTGGCCACCTGAGAGGGGCCACGTGAAGTTGAAATGGTCTTAATGTGGGCGAAAAGCCTGAATCATCCCAGGTGCCTAGTACGGGTCCTTTAACCGTTTCCTCCATTTCTCCTCCCTCTGGTCAGTGTGTGTTCCTCCCTCTGTCTCTCTGTTCCTCCCTCTGTACTCTCCTCTCGTCCCTCTTTGATCATTTTGCTTCCTTTTACCTCCTTCTGGTCAACCTCCTCTTCCTTCAAGTGAGCGATCTCCAATGTCCATGTCGGGGGTTTTCTCAGTAACAGGGTTTTCCCCTCCTTCCAGACAGCCCGTTATTTACTTAGAAGCTTCTACTTCTGCTTTTCACAATTCCCATTTTTAAACTTCCGGCTCCAGTTCCCGTCTCAGTGCACTGCCTTTAGCAGATGGCCTGTTTCTCAGGGTGGGGGCGAGCCATAAATACTTCTTCATCTGTTAATTTTGCTCCAAAAGGAAAAAGAGGGGACTGGAGGTGGCACTGAATCTCGTGCACGTTGTGCACCTCTTCCTTTCTCTGGAAGTTCATCAACAAAATCTGTAAGCTGTTTTCAAGATCTTTGATCTGTTTAGTTTGAGAATTACTTCGGTAACTGTGACACACAACACGTGAAGTGCATAAAACATACATGTGAGTGTGCACAAAGGGAACTCCTGTGTCACCACAACCAGGTCAAGAGAAGCAAACACTGTCCGCATCCGAGAAGCTTCCACTGGCCACTCCGAGCCACTCCTGCCCTCCTTGCGGACTCTAGCAGTGCAGGCGAGTTTGCGTCACTGGAATTTCCCAGTGTACACTCTTGGGTTGGGCCTGTTACACCCAACATGTTGTGTATGCAGGAGTAATTTGTTCATTTTTATTGCGGTCTAATAAGTAACATTACTGCTGTGTTGTAAGTAAACAACATTTATTTGTGCTTTTACCATTGATAGATATTTTCATTGTTTCTAGGTGTTAAGTATTATGAATCGTAGTGCCACAAGCATTATTTCCTTTGTAATTTGGTGCACATTGGCATGAATTTATTTTGGATAGAACTGTAGGGATGTAATTGCTGGGTCATGCAGTGAGATCCATGCTCAGGTAATGCCAAACTTTTCCAAAGAGATTAGTCCAGTGTACAAGTGTACCCAGCAGTTAGTGCAAGAGAATTATTTTGGGTTTACAGCCTTTTCAATAGTTTATGTTGTCAGGGTATTAAGTTTTAGCTGCTTCGATCTGTGTAGTGTCATATCTCATTGTGGTTTTAATCTTATTGTTAATGAAATTAAGCAAAATTCCCATATATTTGTTGGATGCTTCTTTTGGATTTTGTGTGTGCATGTGTGTGTGCGTGCATGCACGTGTACATGCATATGTGTGTGTGCCCTAGATACAAGTTCTTTATTGAATACATCCATGGATCTACACATACACATACACACACACATTCTACTTTGTGGATTTCAGTTTATTCTTTTAATTGTAAAGGATGTAGTCTTGAAGGGTGTAATTGCAGGGCTGGGAATTTAGTTTGATCCCTGGTACCAAAAAAAATGTAATTGCAATAATCAATATGAATTTCTTCTATGAGATTAGTGTTTTGGTGTCATGTTTAGGGGTCTTTTCCCAGCTCCATGACTGTGAAGATGTTTGATTTATCTTCTTACGAGTATCATATCAACACAGTACCCTGGCTATGCTTTGACTATGTCTCCCAGAGTCGTGTGTTGGAAACTTAATTCCCAATTAACAGTGTTGAGAGGGGAGAGCTTTAAGAGGTGATTAGGTCATGAGAGCTCTGCTTTCATGCATGGGTTCATGTTATTATTGTGGAAGTGTCTTGTTTTTAGGAAAGGGATTCATCATGAAAGCCAGTCAGGCCCTTTCTTGCTTCTGTCCCACAAGCAACCGTCTTGTCCTTCTGCCTTCCATGGTAGGATGCCAGATGCTGGCATTTTGATCCTGGACCTCTCAGTGTCAGAACTATAAAAAGATTAATTATCTATTTTCTTTGCATATTACTCTGCCTGTAGTATTTTGTTATAGCTACACAAAGTGTAGTCAGATAACCAAATGCTGAAAAGACCACGTTTCTCTACAGTTCTGCGGTGCCTCCTCTGTCAGTGTAGAGTGTTCATACATCTGTGTTCATCTTTCAGGGCCCTTATATTCAACTGGATTGTAGTCCAATGTGATTCATCCTAATTTTATATGTAATTATAAAATCTTGCCCCTTGTTATTGGTTGTAGAGACTCCTTTTCTTGCTCCTTTTTATTGTTGTCTGGGGTTTCTCTACATTTCCATATTGATTTTGAATAAAACTGTTAATTTCTGCAAAAATATAGCTGATATTTTGACTGC